GAGCAGCATTAAAATATCGTACCATTAACCTTTCCCTCCTTCGAGTGATCTTGACCTGCTAGATTCTAACCGTATACCATTTTTTTCCTCCCATGCTTTAAATGGGAAGAAAAAGCGTCGGCGACTCATGGGCGGTACCTTAAATACATTCGGTTAATTTGAGACCTGTTTGGGTGATTCTCGGCTGTCTTCAAGAAGAATTAGCACGCTACAAATCAAGTAGATATATTTGAAATCGTTAGGTTCGCCACTTTTAAATTAAATCTGTTTAGAAGTACATAAATCAAGTGGATAAATTTGGAACTCTTACTTTCGTTTGTCGTCTTCGGAAAGAAAATGATGTCGCTTGTAGATAGGTCAAACAAATCCATTTAGAGCTATTTTTAGATCGAATCAGAGCTGGCCTGAACTGGTCAAAACTCCTTCTAACTGGTTTGAAGTAGAAGGTCATGGGCTGAGGTATGCACCCATGACAGTTTTGAATTTCACCCTGGCCCGAAGTTTCCCTTTCCGCTTTGGCCTAAAATGCAAATCTGCCAAAATACTTTCAAATGGATATTGCGATTGGTAGCGCGATTTAATAAGCCTATCGTAAAAATGCCAAAGGCTGTATTTTTTACCGTCTTTTCTATTAAATCCTCTTATGAAAGAACTAATCGATATGAAAACAAAAAAAAATCAAAATTGTTGTAAAACAAATTATTTTAATCTTCTGTTTGTATTAGGAAACTTTTGGAAAATTCAGCTGAAGCTGTCTTTCCAATTAAAAATAATTTTGTTCTATTTAAAGTAAGCGAAAATATTTCAGCATCTCTCTCGGTCCGAATGAGTACACAAATATTTTCAGTGGCATCGATGGAATATTCAAGACTTCAAATACCAAATCAGCCTCGTACTCTTGTCATCATATTGAAGTATTATAAGTACAGTCAACCCTCTTACAATATGATATTCTAATAACAAGTTTTCCATATCTTACAGTACACAAGCCTTCAATAATAGGGCATTCTAACAAGAAGGTTTCAGTACAACAGGTTTCAAAACTACCAATTTTCACATTGCACGGTGCCAAAATGTGACAGTCCTCCTACAGCACGGTATATTGACAGTCCATTTACAGCGCGGTGTTTCTGATAACACGGTTCTGACATTCCTTCTACAGCATGGTTCTGATATCTCTTTTACGGCATGATTTCTGATAACATAGTTTCCAAGTAACACGAAGCAACATCCCTCCGCATTCTAACAAGAAGGTTACTATAAAAAAGGGTTCAAAAATACCAATTTCCATATAAAACGATGCAAAAATAGTGAAAACCTTCCTATAACACGCCATTATAACACTTTTACAGCACGGTTTCTATATAACACCGAAAAAATTAACCATGTTATTGGAGGGTGGAGTATTTCATGCCAAGATCCGATTCGAATACATTCCCAATAGAATGAAGCGGTCATTACAATATTCTTGTCACCGATTGTAATTCAGCTGTGTTCTTAATAATGCCATTCATTTATGATGCTGGTAAATCTAACGCAAACGTTTACCGAAATCGCTGCTGTGAGGAGCAACTGAGTGTAAGGAGTTTTTTCCTGGGATTCATGCCATGTTTGTCAGTTCCCTTGAAAATACATCAGGAAGGAATCACTCCTTTTAATATCTTTTAGAAATTCAGTCTTCTACGTTTATAATAGCCCAAATCCTGCTTGAAAATTAGTAGCTTTCCTTGCACTTTCTTGTACTTTGCATCGTGGAATTCCAATAGCCTAAGTTTCGTTCATTATTAAATGTAGTAACTGTATAGATCCTTTTGCCACATTTGTTTCTCCAAAAATATCAGAAGATTATACAGTCGAACCGCGATATAGCGAACCCGAGATATAACGAACCCTCGGTTACAGCGAACCTTTTACATGGTCCCAACTGAAGCCCTATATTAATAATGTATTTTCATACGTTTACAACGAACAGCAAACGCTAGAGACTCGGTTATAGCGAACTGAAAATTTCTAAAACTTCAAACTTTTCACTTGCCCAAAGGGACATTCTTTACTAATTGTGCTCAAGTCAACCCAACTTCTACAAGAGTTACCCCTTTTGCATGAAATACTCTGGTTCAGAGACCACATTCCTGGCCTATTGTACCTTTGTTAGAGTTGCTGCTAACCCCATAAGTGGGACAAAGGAACAATAGGCGAGGCTTTTTACAGTTTCTATTTCCCCTCCTCCCCCCTGTGGACACCTGGCGTCAACCAAGGAAGGGGGAGGACTTTCTGGTCAGACGACCTAGGAGCAATCACGTGTTTTCTGTGCCATTTTAGTTTAATTGCTTATCATTCTGTGAACTGTGCAGTGACCATGGCTAACGTTGGCAAGCGAATTATTTAATACTTTATTTGTCCCTAATTACTAATGAAAATATTATGTTATTAAAAAGTTTATTATAGAAGTAGTATCTTAGCATGTTAGCGCATTTTTTTTTGCAAATACGGATACAGCGAACCTAGGTTAAAACGAACTTCTGAGTCGGTCCGTTGAGGGTTCGTTATAACGGGGTTTAACTGTACGTCAAAATAATATCCGAATATTGTACCAGGAGGAAATTATGCTAAAGAATAAATTATGATAGATTAACATTATCATAAGCAGTTTTCAAGGAAGAAAAACTATTGTCGTTAATAATTAAAATAAATGAAACATCTCTTATGGACTACATAAGAATTATGAAGACCAATGGAAACAAAACTTCGTTACATGATATTCCAAAACCTTCATTAACTAGAAAAGCTGATTTGACAAGTTGGATTAACTTCCCTTTTCAAACTTCCTTTTCATTTCCCTTCCTTCCTTCTACAATGACTGTTCAGGATGGACCACGTAATACCAAATTCTGGACAAGGGCTAAATTTTGTTTTTAGTCGGAACTTCACTTCCCACATCACACCCTAATGTGTCACCAGACCCTGTCACTTTTGTCTCTTAACCAGATTTAAAATCTATTAATTACGTGGATCTTAGTAGAATATGGAATCAAAATCACCAGCGCCAGGGTTATTTAAACTCGGATGCTAGGTTATTAATCTTACAGAGAATATGTCTGTTTAATGCTCTTATGCGAGAAATCTTTTAATTTTAGGGTTGGGATATATAAACCATCGATCAGTTTTTAAAAACCTGAGTTTAGTTTAGTTATATTAACGTCCACGGAGCAACACGACGGCTATTTTGGGACGCACCTCATAAGACTTAGTAGGAGTTCCCCAACTTCTAATAATTTTGGATGATTCTTTTTTTGTTCTTTTGCTACAATATTATTGGCAGGCTAGTTTCACACTATACTTCTGGCACTTATAGATGTTATTTGAGTTATTTTCATAAAGGAATAACTAAACGGACTATGGATGATTATCCAACAATTGAAATTCGAAACAAAATCGCTTTAGCATCATGATCATTAGATTTATGTTTTATGGAAATTTGAAATGGTCTTTATACCATACATGCAGTTAAATGAAATCCCGTCAGTGAAGTTAACACAGATATTGACGGTAGTCTAGGACAAGTCCCGAAGGATGTATGCACCAACAAAACAATACAGGCATTCATGCCTTACCAGAATCAAGGTATAAATGGGTGTAAATTCGTGAAGCAGCATCACGAAAGAACGCTCAGCTTCCTCGTCTTTTTATAAAGCTTCTTTCATTCGAGAATTGGTCATCGGAGATTATAACATTAAATGGATACTTCGAATTGTTGAATGAGAAAGGCTTACTTTTTTCCGAAGGTCACAGAGGCAATTCTTGATGACTGAGAAATTTCTTCAGATCACGCATACATATACCAAAGGAAATTGAGACTCCCATAATTGATTTAGAGACAATTACGAGAAACAAAATTCCGGTTCGTACTCCAGAGTAAAATCAATCAATAGTTTTTGAGTCTTCTGGTCTGGTCCCAGCCGACAAACAAGGCAAAATCATTGCATTAAATACACTTCTAAATAAATTATTTTCAACTATAAGATGAGTTTCTGTTTTTCTAAAGTTTTCAAATGCATATAGAAGGTTATGGATTTTTTTTAACATTTTTCCTCGTTTTTTATTACTTGAGCAAAAGGACTAATACAGAGGGCGTTTGCACATTTTTAGAACGATTTCGTTTCGCTGTAGGGAAAATTCGTTTACTTGGAAAAATTTAATTTCACAAAAATTACATTTTTGAAAATATAAGTTATCATTTGCAGCAAAAAATTTTTGTGGACTCTTTGAAACTTTTCTTCAGATTAAAATTTCCATAATTTAATATCATTTTAGGATATTAATTTAAATAATAACACTACTATGGGTGCGGATGGGTGAAATATGCCTCGTTTACTGATTTTAAGGTCGTAATTTGTTCACAACCTTTACGTCTCATAACAAATATTTGGAATTTGAGGCATTTATAATTCAGTAATATTTCAGCAAACTACTAGATTCGATGAGGTTACTGGAAGACCAGATAGGTAAATCGTCGATTTAACAGACTAATTACAGCGACTGAGTATCCATGAAAAAGATGTCATGGACGATTTTTAAAATAGAATATTACACTTGAAATTGTACTGTATAATGTAAATGTAAAATATTTGTTTTACGTACCATATTAGTAACAAAAATCTCTTTACATCTGCTTATTAGAAAAGTGAAAAAATCTGCTCAAAGTTTTTGCTCAACAGTTTCCTTCTCTTTACTACGTTTGCAACACTAATCAAATTTTGTCCGTTAAATCGAGGGTTTACTGTATACTAGTCTCATTAGTATCAATCCGTGTAAGCATGGGGAGTGAAATGTAATTCAGAAGTCCTCGTCATATTATTCTACATCAGAATTACAAGCTTCCTCCAGCAAACTACTTTGCGATAACAAATCAGACGCCCGGGTTGCGTCTAATCTATTTGCGGCAAAAGCAACATGCTGGGTACAGCATCACAATACGCTTTTTGGGAGGCATAGTGTGCGCCACCATAGTTCAATAGTTAGAGCACTGGTCTTGTAAACTAGGGGCCATGAGTTGAATCCTTACTGGTGGCGTTGTAGGGGGGTTTCATGTATAAGGATTCCATTAGGAAAGTCGCCCATAAGAAATATGAAACATCGCAGTGAAGAGATTTTCTTTTTTTCTTCTCATTGTCGCGTAATGTTTTACATCTGAACGCGTTTTTCGGAAGGTTTGCCGTGCGCTACAGTAGCTGAGTGGTAAACCAGGGGTGGTGAGTTTCAATCATAACTGGTGGCTGTATTTCATAAAGGGCTTAAGAAATTAAAATTTGGATTTTCAAAGTTTTGTGGGTTTCCCCCCCCCCCTTATAAAAGATTCCTTTAGGAAAGTTATCCATAAAAAACACACTGCGCAATAAAATAATTTTACTTTTTCTTCTCTTTACCGTGTAATGTTTTGGAAAGCTCTATCACAAAAATCTAACTTCTATATATGTCTCCCATTTGTAAAAATAACAGTATTAACAACATAAATGTTATACAAAGTAGTAAGTAGTTTAAATTTACATAAAGAAATTTATAAATCGATAGTTTAAGAAAACTTCGAATTTAACATATATTTATAACTTAACAAATTTCCGAAGGCAAAAAATTTGAAATTGAAACTTAAAATAATTTTCCTGGAATATTTGAAGAAACGTTATGTAACAGGCCGGTAGAAACTAAATGTATTTTAAATTACAAAAGCTTTAAAAATAATTACATGAGAAAGGGCAATTAGGACTATTTGAAATTTGAATTTTAAATATTAGAAAAAGAGATAAGAACTATTATGATAAAAAAAGTTTTATTTAAAATTAGCTTTTAAACTGCGAGTCCCTTGAACATTATGATAATACTAATTGCTTAAAAAAGCATTCAAAACTGTTTTAAACAAGAGTTTTAATGCTTCAGATAATAATTGTTAAATAGCTATGGTAATAACTGCCATTGTTAAACTTTTAAATTTTAATTTCCAAATAAATCCTTTTAAAGAAAAATTTTTTCTTCATAGCTATATAATGACTTGTTTTACGAAATAAGGAAAAAGCCTTGGAGTTACTAAAAAAAAATAATAAGACTGCACTTGCAACAACGTTCCAAAGTGTGTTGTGACCTCGTCGCACTTTTGTTACAAACGATCCACTGTTAGTGCTAAATAATAATGCATTTTGAGTTCCGGTTTCGGTATGATACTGGATAGAATGATCTGTTTTCTAGTAAAGCTTTCCAGAAATTGCGTCGCATAAAACAGAATAGTGTTAAAGATTTTCAAGTGATACAATTGCTAGTTTGGGGTTTGAAATCACTTTTAATTTTGTTTTAATTGTATATCAAAATGGATGAAAATTTTCAGTCATTTTACTTAATGAAATTGAAAAAGAAAAAGAAAGATTCAGCTCCTCACAAAATAGGAAAATCATTAATTTTTAGAATGAGGCTTCAAAAAGTAATAATTATGGGGGACGATGCTAATGGCATTTAAAAATTGTTATTGAAATTAAATTTCAAAAAATAATTTTAAAATATTTTACTGCACTTATTTATGCTCAGGTTCGAAATATGTAATTCAGAAGATTTCATATTAAGCGTATTTCAGTAAAATGAATGTAATCAACTTGATATATTCAAATAAAATGTATATTATAAAATTTAACTATTACAGTATACTCTCTATTATCCGTGCGCGGATTATCTGGTTTGCGGATTATCCGTACTCATTTCGGAGTCACAAAATTTTAAGAGAAACATTTTCACGCTTAATCATGCATGCAAAATCGATGTTGATGTTCGATCGAGAGATTCATTCCTTGAAACTAGTGAGCCGTGACGGCGGACGCTAAAGTATAGATTTTTTCTTTCTTCCTCCACGTGCAATCTCTACCGGTTCAATCCCTAATTTTCCGAGAAATGAATCATCCACTTCCTGCTAGCTCATTCTCGTATGAACACGCTTCTCCCTGACACGTCATTCTTTAACTTCTTCGTCCTCTTTCACTTTCGCACGTGTACCTTTAGTTTTTGCGTCTTGTTTATCGTCAGTTAGTAGCGTCAAATTTTTTACTGATAAAAATGAGTGGTGTGAAACGAAAACGAAACGTTTTAAATGTTAAACAAAAATTAGAAATCCTTCAAAAACTTGATAATGGAGAGTCAGCTAGTACTGATGCAGAAGATATACTAAATCAGGAAAATACAATTTCGCATTCTGCTGCTCTAAAATCTGTGGAAACTTTGTTAGGTTATATGGGACAAAGAGGATTTGATTACGGTGACATTACTGCGGTTCGTAAAATATGTGTCGATATACGACAAAAGATGAACAAGGAGCAGAAGCAAAGCACATTACAGATTTTTTTAAGCAGTAAATATTAAAAGGAAAATTCCTAGTTTGATGTTATACAGCATGCAAATGTAAGTAATTTTTATATTTTTGTACTGATGTTGATTTTTTCTTTAATAAAAAGGAGTTTTCGGATTATCCGTGCTTTTCTATTGTCCGTGCGATCCCTCCTGGTGATTAACCCGGATAATCGGGAGTACACTGTATAACTGATAACTGATTTGGTGTCAAGAATGTACGGGGGAGGTATTTGGTTTCTTAAAAGGCGGGTCACGACCCTAAGTGAGATAACACGGAAATATCTTGCGGTCAGAAAAACACTCGCAGGGAATTTGTTTTCCAGATTCTTCAACTTACGCTATCAAAAATATTTAATTAAATCATCTTCCCTAAAAAGATTTCATTAAAATTTGCTAAATAATTGTTTTAATTGAATTTCCTTTTATTTATTACTAATTAATGCTTCATTTGCTTCGAGGTCGTGGACATTTTTTTTTACAAAAATGGGGTCACCAAAATGTTTTGCACCCGAAAAGGGGTGGGAAGCGAGAGAAATTGTAGAAAACCAACAAGTGTACTTCGATCTATTAGTTTTGAATCTTTCTCTTTCACATTTACGTGATAAAAACATACAAATACTACCTAACGATATTATCATGAATGTAAAGCACGATTATACTCTATTTAATTAACACATAAGAAAAACTGGAAACCGTGCGATCCTCCTTCTTCGCTGTATTACAGATTGAAAACACATTAATCAAGATGCCAGGTGTAGTTTCCTTTTAACTAATATATACAATTTTCAAGGGCGATTAGCAGCTGCCCAATTCACGTGTCTTTATTTCTTTTCCTTCAGATATCTTTCCGATCAATTCGAGGACATCATATTCACACTCTTCCTGTCTAATTATTAAGCGAAGACAAGTTTCAATTAAACTTTTCCTAATAAAAAAGCATATCCTTTTTAATGCTCGACTTCATTTTCTTGTTAGTTAAAGGGAGGGTGGTCATTAGCTAGTAATGAGAAGCGACAAGCGAATCTTCTTCCTGTCGTTTTTGTGAGTAAAAATTGCTACTATTCGAGCTTTCAAGACGGAAACAGTTTTATTTTTTGTCAAATAAAAGTAAAAAAACAGGAAGGTCGTCGCTTAATCGAGATAGATGATAAAAGACTGACCAAGAGGCGTACGGAATAATAATTATCAACCAGAACTTCAATATTTAATTTAATCTAGTTTATTTATTTATTCAGTTCGGGGAATGTCTCTGATCATGTGGTTAGTATTTACTTTATTTTAAAACACAATTTTAAAACATAATTCCCAGGTTTTTGAAGAAAAGGAAAATTACATCTCTTAAGCGCTTCTTCGTGTTATGAAATCATCAATAGAATTTCATAGTTGGGAAGGTCAAATTTCTACATTGCTCTGAAAGAACAACGAGAGAATTCCTAATGATTTGGAGGAAAAGGGCACGGGTCCTGCCTTGTGTTTAATTTGCATCATTTAAAAGGTTGGCGGATGAAATGTGCATGCTGTAGAATAATTATTACATTTCTGTTTGGCTGTATGTGTGGTGTTATTGCTGATTTTCCTGATACATGATAGAGATGAGGGCCACCTTCTCTTCAAAAGTCCTACAAAAACACATTCTTCCAGACGCGGCGGATTTCTTCTCTTTTGATGATACAAGACCAGTTGTGGCGATTGGGTGCCAAAAGTGGGTGGGGGACAAAAAATTATAGACACCTAAAGTACTCTGGAGTATAGGTGGTAAACAGCAAAATTTTAAAATTTAGTTACAAAATTAGCCAGCTTTCCCGGACACTGTTGTTGTTTTTTATAATTCCAAGTTTTTGGCAACTAAAATGAAATAATCTATTTTTTTCCTCAAAAAGTGTAGGGCGGCCGTCCCCCCCCTCCTCACCGCCATTGTACAAGACAAACTTAGCATAGTGTAACTGAACATTAACAATTAACGCTCCATTTTGAAATGATACGAGGAATATTTAGGGATGGACTTAGTAATTTTGAGAGGTAATCAGATAGCAGGAGCGGAATCTGAGCCAGGACTTCACTCTCCAGGTTTACACGCCACACCAGCATGAAGACGTTTGTCCCAGGATGGCAAATTTAACGTGCACAACACCCACATACAGGATGGATGTTCAGTGGAATTGGGTCTCCAACTCGCAATCCTCCGATTCCAAGACCGTCCCACCAAGCCACCATGGACTATGTGACTGAATTCGCGTAGTTCTCATAAACCGATACCATCAGTATTTAATCTTAGAAGACAATCCGTTAGTTAATTAGGATGCGTAGCAATGATATACTTGTCAATAGAGGAGATATTTCTCATACATTCTAAGCACCTTAAAAATATTTCATATAAAAATGCCAGTAAATTTTTAATACCTAAATTTTAAATATTTCATATATGATTATGCGATATCTATTTATTCTGAATTCAACAAATCAATAAAATGTCAGAATAATATGACTATGATCAATCAGAAATCAAAATTGAATCGTCAAAGTATGATTGCATAGCTTTATACGTCTTTCGATTGTTAAAAACTTCCACAGAAACAAAGAATCTAATTTTTGGACGACTGGCATTAAATTTAAATGGACTAAATTTATTTTCAGATTCATGTTGGTCTATGCTGCTGTTTTCAGAACCCTCTCTAAATGATTATTAACCA